GAATAGACCTACACAGGTAAGTAGTATTCGAGCAAATTAATAATTTAGGGTCGAAGTAGTGTCGAACTAAAAAGAATTGAAATAGGTACAAATGTACAATGTCTATTTCTTTATGAAAATGAGCCTTATTTGCAGATCGAGCTAGCTTTATTTGAAAATAAGGTTAATTTCATAGTATTAATTCTTTTTATTCTGTTTTTCAAGATGATTAATGTTCAATCAGGAACAAATAATGACATGGGTTTCCTATTATTGAAGGATCAAACAATTGGTCATATACTGTGTTGCAAATGTGGTACTTCAACTCCTCCAAATAACGCAAACATGTGTGTGAATTGTCTGTCATTGGAGACTCGAATAACAGATAGTCTACCAAGCCGTGTTAGTATTGTACATTGCCCGAATTGTAAGAGTTACTTGCAGCCTCCAACAACTTGGTTAAAAGCTGAATTAGAGTCCAAGGAGTTGCTATTAATTTGTCTCAGAAGACTGAGGAAATTGATTGATTATCGACTTATTGATGCAAAATTTGTGTACTCGGAACCTCATTCTAAAAGGATTAAGTTGAGGCTTAGAGTTCAAAGACCGGTTCTTAATCAAGTATATGTTGAGAAGTTACATGACATCGAGTATGTTATTGTGGATCAAAGGTGTCAATCTTGTATGCCTTTAAACCCCGATTATTGCGAAGCTGTTGTGCAAACAAGGCAATATGTCCCTCACATGCGCACATTCTTGTACTTGGAGAGCCTTATTGTCAAGCATCAAGTAGCCATTTCAGCAGTGAAAATCAAGCGAGTAGAGCATGGTCTTGATTTCTTCTTTGCTAAGAATCGCGATGCTGTGAAGTTCCTTGACTTCTTGTGTAGTGTTGTCTCTATTGAACCGCAAAATAAGTCTCACAAGCAGATATTGTCCCAAGACACAAAAAGCAATATCTCTCGATATAGATTTAACATTGCTGCTGTTATAAGCCCAATTTGCCGTGATGATCTTGTTTATCTCTCGCCTAAACTTTCTTCCAGACTCGGACAGATTGGCCCCCTTGTGGTTTGTATGAAAGTGAGGAGGACTATCACTTTGTTGAATCCATTCACATTGAAGTATTGTTTAATCGATAGTGATCAATATTGGAGAGAACCTTTCGAACCTTTACTAACTAGCGATCAGCTAGTAGAGTATATTGTGTTGGACGTTGTGATTGCTTCAGCTCAAGTTGATAATAACAGATGCCTGAAATGTACACTAGCTGATGTAGAAATTGCTAGGGTGTCGGATTTTGGAAAGAATGACAGAATCATTTCTGTAAGAACACATCTTGGACATCTTTTGAAACCCGGAGATTGTGCTCTTGGCTATGACCTTTTTGGATCGAACTTCAACAATAGTGAGGCGGAGGAAAGGAAAGAGCTGTTGCCAGACGCGATTTTAATAAAGAAAAGGTGCACAGAAAAACAGAAGAGAAAGACTTCAAAAGGTTGTTCAAGTGAAGAGGGGACTAAGACTAATGGTGATTCAGAGTACCATCAGTTTCTGAGAGATTTGGAGACTGATCCAGAGAAAAGATTTAGAATATCCTTGCATAATAGTAGTGCAAATGAAGATTGTTCACATGATATGGAGTCTACTGCAGCTGCTGGGGATTTCGTGTCGTCCAACCAATTGGAAAATGTATTTGCTGATCTAGTGTTGAGTGATACTGATGATGATGATGCTTGTATTACTTATACAAAAAACAGGTTTGATTCATAATCCCCAGGTTCATCCTCGCATCCTTTGCCAAAAGGTCAGCTACTGAGTTTGCTTCACGTCCTTCAAAGTGCAATTCCAGAGGGTGGAGCTCCCTTACTAGGGCCCTGCAATTTGTAATCAAAACAGGTGAGTTTGCAAGAGTTTGGTTACAATTTATCTCTTCAACTGCTCTTTTGGAATCCGACCAAATGCTCACTCTCTCCCAGCCTCTATCTTTAGCCCAAAGCAAGCTTTGGTATATGGCATTTAATTCAGCATCATAGCTGTTGGGACAGTAACTTTTCCATGTAATCCCTTCAATCCATTCACCCAAATGGTTTCTGCAGATTGCACCAATACCTGCCAGCTTAGATGATTCGACGAAGGAGGCATCACAATTAATCTTTAGAGAGGGAAAAAGGGGGGGAGATCAGGCAAGGGGGTAGGGCTTAAGACTTTCTGACTGTGCTTTTGAGAAATAGCATTCAGAAGCAGCCCATATGTACTGGTGGACTATTTGTGTGATTGTTGAGTTCTTTTTGTTAAATACCCAAGCATTTCTTCTGAGCCAAATATGCCATAGGATGAAGGGAAAGAGGGAATTCCAAGGGATTCCATTGTGTGAAGGGGAGGAGATGTTGATGTTTTGCTTTAGCCAATCTTGCCATTGGGTTGCAGCTTGGCAATCTTGCCATCAGCCAATTTTGCTTTAGCCAAACTCACATCTCTTTTTTCATTGTACCCGAGCTAAAGAAATCTGGGATATGATCCCCTTCCCCCGAATTTGAGCCTACTTGCTGTACAACTAATAATAAATTGATCTAAAAAAGATGCTTATATGCTTCTTATCTAAGCTCGTGTCTTGTTTATTTCATCACATAATTACTAGTCTAAGTGGAAACTTGTTATGGTTTCAAAAAAAAAAAAAGTGGAAACTTGTTATACTTCTTGGTGACATTAAACTAATTTCTAAGACGACCACCACACATTAGGGTCGAAACTTTTGGAGAACTCATTGAGTATGTTGAACAAGAGAGGCATTGTGTATTTGTGTACGATATATGCAAGGTTCCATGGCCCTCTCCATGCTTTTCTATGTTGATATATATATATAGAACTTTAATAGATAAGTTTTAACAATTTCTATTCTATCCTAAATGCATGACTATAACAACTTTAACAAGGAAAAATGGTACAATGTTAATGACATTTTGAAGCATAAAGGTGTTCAGTACTTTCGTATCATGGAGTAAAATATGCCCCCTTTTTTTTGGTAGGTTGAAGTTAAATTTGCATACTGGTTGTTTAATACTTGGTTGAAAGGTATAAATGAGATAGAAACGTTATGGCCTCTACAACCAAAGATAGTGTGGAGAAACTCAAATGAACAAATATAAGAAAATGAAGCGTATATTTAGAAATGAAAGGAGTAAAAAGTCGTTTAAGATCCATATTAATTTCTACTATGGAGTATAACGTGACAACTGACATTATTATTTCAAAATGGATAAAGTGTATGCTCTTATTAAATTTTGATGTGACTTATTGTGCACTCTGTACAATTTTGCAACGATAAAAGAAAAATAAAATAGAATGATAGGCACACCAAGAGTAGAGGTGTCAAAATTGAACCGGCCTGAAGAAAAATCCATTTGTTTTGAACTGTAATCGATCCGATTAAATTCGAGAAACTTGATACCCAAACTCAATATGTAACCGACCTCGCTGAACTCATCAACCCAAATCTGAATTTGACCCGTTCTAAACTTAATCCGACATCAATTTAACCCGACTTGAACTCAAACTAAACCGGTTTGATCTGACCTGAACTCAATCTGAACCAAAGTTGACCCGACAAATACTAGATTTAATTCGATTTGTTTTCATCTGGCCTGTTCACATTTACTTAATTTCAGTTCAGTTCAATTCAGTTCAGCTCCAATCAATTCAGTTCAGTTCAGTTTAGCTCCAATCAATTTAGTTTTTCCCTCTCTCATAAAATATTCAGTCCAGTTCAGCTCCAATCAGTTCAATTCACTGAATTCAGTTATTCAGTTTAGCTCCAATCAGTTCAGCTCAGTTCAGTAAATGTGAACATGCCCTTAATTCGAGCTGTTTTGATCCAAACTAATATTAACCCTTATCAATTTTTACTTGACATGATTTCAAATTAAACCAACCATAATTTCAAACCAATCATAATTTTAAACTCAATCTACTATTAACCGTTTTTTTAACTTAAACATATGTTTATGAAACGATATGAATATGACACATGAATGACTAGAAATGACATATGTCATCAACTTTTTAAAAAATTTTGCAACAATTTTTTTGTTCTTTTGTTTTGTCAAAGCTTCTCATGCAATAATATTTCCCTTGTTACGTTATTGGGTAATTATATTCCATTCATACACATTCAACAAAATATACTCTAGTCGTAGAGTCACGATTGGTTAGGGTTTAGGGTTGCCGGCGGTGGGGACACAACCACCGGTGGTTGGGTTAGGGTATAGTGGTTTTTTCTTTTTTAATTATTTTTTATTTATCTTTTTTTAAAAACCAATGTCTTATTGACACATATTTATCATGGGTCTAATTATTGGATTTCATCCAAAAATCCGTTAAATAGTGATGAAATCCTTTCTTTTTTTTTGGTGTTATAATAATAGTTTGAAATTTTATGGTGTTATAATCCATTTTTGAGAAATTTAAGGTGTTATTTTTAAAATTTAATTTTTTATATACAAAATATTACAAATCTACATCTATATATTCTGGAGTACAATCTTTAAGAGTGAGAAGTTTGGGGAAATTGAACAGTATGACAGTGTGCGGCCCTCGGGTTGGGTGCTATTTGCGGTCATGCCACTGACTGCTGACTTCACTTCCTACTATTGTCCTCTCATTTTCCCTCTGTTGCTCTCATTCTTTCATTGAAGGTCGCGTCGATTGAAGAAGTGGATGTGATGGAGTGTTGATTGGTGAGGTTTTTGAAGAAGTTGAACAGCATGTTAAAGATATTTGGGATCTGTCGAGACGACGGTGCGATTGGATCCATCTTTCAGACACACACCCATGCAATTTTGTTGGCAATAATCTAGAGATTGAGACTCACTTGTTACAGCATGAGCCCCCGCTTGGAAATAATTACAACACATTGAGAATTCAGCGAAATGGTGAGGACATCAACTCGGATTGCACTGATGATAATATGCAAGGTGTAAATGATGATGATGAAGAAGAAGAGGTTGCAGGGCCACATATTCACTTGGCAACTGATGATGAACGATCTGATGATGAATTTTGAGAATCAACAATTTGATCATTAGTACTCCAGTTTTTATCTATGCGTTTTGATCGTTGGATTCAGGTTTCTTTTTAACAACTTTTTTCTTTACCGTAATATTTTTAATTAGACTCTCTTTATTTGTTTATGTTTACAGTATTATATATTACTAGTACCACTTTACCAGTATTATGTATTAACACAACAGTACTAAGAATATATGTTAAAATTAAAGAATGAGATACAAGCATACAACAATCTTTACTTAGAGTAATCACATAATTGAAATAGTAATTCCATTTTTGCAGTCCCTTCAATCAAAATATCATTATGCTAACAATTTGCCAAATAACAACATTGAGTCCACCAATCAATCCTTTCTTCAAGCCTTAAGCCTACACGGCTACAGTGTACACAAATTACTAATGCACCTCAGCTGCTTTAGCATCTTATCATCGAGACTTGGCCTTGCGCTTGCTGTCGTTCTGAAGCTAGCTTGTCCTGCTTGATAACTTTACCTGAAGGAAATGTGAATTAGACAAATGATAGATGTATCATGTATGTGGTGTTAAGACATGTAAATGAGGATATAGACCGAATCAGATTATGAAAAGGAGGAAAATATTAGGGTACACAACAATCAAACTATCATAGCATTCATACAAGAGACGTAAGCTAAATATGACTTGATTACAGACTTACAGCTCACTGGTCTTTTCATAATATACTTCATGTACAAGGAAAAAAAAGAGTGATAGTTGTTTTCCATAATCTAAGGCATTTAGCCCTTTGCCAGTATGCTAAAGCCTAGACAAGAGCATTAAAATCACTAAGACATACTTACATGCATCCTTTATGTTTGAACGACATGGTCCATCTCCAAACAAACAATACAAAAGAATTAAGATACACTGCTATGAAGGAGTTCATTCAATAGGTATATGTGGTATAGGGTAGAGATGGTCTAGGCATGGTGGCAATGGATAGCATTGGGGACGGCAAATTGGCGATGACAAGGGGAAGATATTCTGAGCGAAAACTCAACGTTATAGATCACATTTGGAACAACATGGTGGGAAAACAACTCAAGTGTTCCCGCACAATCTCAAGATTGGGGTTTCATGTAGTAGATCAAGCATCGCATGCAAGGGCTAAACACAGAGGCACACAGCTGTATTCTGTTTTTGTAAGACAGCACAATCTTCCAGTAAGCCCAACAATGGGAATGTAGATATTTACACTGCTAACAAAAAAATTCATGGATAGGATCAAGTGATCAAAAATCAATTTTTTTGCATATACCTTAGAGGCCACAAATTTTCATAATAGATCGTTTATTTTTGTTCCAGCTTCACGTACATACCTTAGAGGCCACAATTTTTCCTACAACTACATTGTAATGTTTATAAACATTCAAATCTCTCTTTCATTTTTTTCATGTCCAAGCAATTCCAACAAAGGTTTTGACCACTCAAAACTCTTATCAACCAAATACTCTTGTCAACCAAACACCCCAAAAAATTTCATTGAAGCACTCCATATAAAGTTCTACATCTTCATAAAGGATTTAAAAAGTATAAATGCTTCCATATAATGCTAAAAGTTTATAATAAACATGTTAATGACAACATAATTTAATGTTACTAACCAAATGTATATAGTTGTCAGATCACGATCAAAGCTTCCTTAGTTTATCCAGAAGAGCTAAAGTGGAATCATCTATCGGTCTCTTCTCGACAAAATGTTCACCATCTCTTGTATAAGACGATGATTCCTTTGTTAGATCAATCTCCGAGTTCCCAGCATCACATGACACCTTAGTGCTCCAAAACTACAATAAAACCAATATAATCATACTCTAAGAAAGCATATGGTTTAAAATAACTATAAAATCTAAGACCAACATGATAACAATTCAATTACCATAGGTAAATAAAGTGATCCAACATCAATAAGTTTCTCCCCATGTGAAGACCAGATCCGAACAACACTCTCGAAAATATTTTTAGGACTAGCCCGAGTTAAGAAAAACCTACAAGAGGAAAAAAAAATAAAACACACACAAGGAAGATAAATGAATCCATCCTCATTTGAAAATGCACCTACTAATTAATTTGTCAAATTTTAATTAAAAAAAATACTACATACCTGCCACTACCATCCCATCTAAGATCCATGGCTATGAAGTATACAAGGGCCAACAGTTGATGATTTTTAATATCATAAAAGTATAATTCTCTGGAACCATTTAACGGTCCTTGCATCACCATATAGTGACCATTTGGAGACCAATGAAGAAAATGAGCAATCATACCCTTTAGTGTTTTAATCCTGTGCCTCAAATATTTTCCATCTTCTTGTATTGTGTAAAAGTTTGTTGTGGTTTGCCCCACCTCATTAGCTCCACGAGTAACTGCAAATTGCTTCCCGTTTCCTTCCCAAGCAAAATCAATATAATCAAGACGAGGACTAATGAACTCGGCCTTTCCAGATTTCAAGCTAATAAGAAAAATCTTTTTGTAATTAGTCCCACTACATATACAAGCAAGATATTCCCCAGCACTTTGCCACAAAAGCTTGTAACCTTCAACCCTCTCCCAAGAATAACCATACAATTTCTTACCACTGCATATATCAACAATTTTCATCTGCAAAATTAAATAATTGTTTATAAGCATATTATGAACAAGGAATAACATATTCAATATAAGCAGACAATACATATGAAATTCTATAACTTCTTTTCCACTTACATATGAATTGCCAAAAACTGCTAGTATTGATGCAGAAGGTGACCAATCAAACTCCTGTACTTGCTTAAACATCAGATGTTTAAGATGAGAAAATGTTTTGGTTTCATAGATAATCACAGAGCTGGATACTCGGACAGCAAAGTAGTTATCATTGTAATCCCATCTGTAGAAGCATTAGGAATATTCATTATATATAAATAAACAACCAACTCAATGGAAATAAAATAAATGGACTCACTTAAGGTAATCTTTAACTGAAGCAAAATACGTTTCTGGAGAGCTGCTTCCACAAAAACTTATTCTGATGTTTCCAGTCTTTGCCTCCCAAACTTCTAGCTTCACATCCTAAGAAGTCATTCCAAGACCACACAATCAATGTCCGGTCATCATTCTTATGGAAAAAGGAAATAAATGCTGCAACATAATATTGGAAACTAGATTACTCACCGGTTGGTTTTCCGACACCCAGTACAAGAGAGATATATAATTTTCCTTTGGAGAAAACTCAGCAGCACCAACCTACAAAATTAGTCAAATTGTCAATGCTGCCAAATTTTTTTAAAAAAAATTACTAGCAGTAATGAAAAAGGAATACCAGTCCACCCGCAGGAAACACAATTTCCTGAAAAGGAGGTTCAGTATGCAAGACACACAATTCTTTTTCTCCAAGACACAACAAATAAGACCCAAGAGGAGACCAACCTATAGCCTTCAAATTCTTCAACTGCAAAGAATTAAAGTTCATTAATTGCAAGATAAATACATTTAATGTAAAGAGTATACAAAACAAGATAGTTCATTCATAGCTTCCATAAAAAATCACATCAAGTACATCTTGGTTAATAGAATACAATGAAGCAAGTCAACAAAGCATATTAAAACGATAATACACATTCAAGGAGCTTGATAAGGGAGATAGTGATACACAGAGATATTCATGATATGATACATGGGGAAAAAAAAAAAAGCTACACATAGAAACTTACATTGAAAGAGTGATAAAGCAAGGGCTGAAATGCATCAGAATCATCATCATAAGTATAGATTCTGACAGCACCTTCATCCAGAATTGAATAGTATCGCTTCATGCTCTTACTTGACCCTGGGAAAAAATTTCATTCAACAACTACAAAGCCTGAGTCCTAAATTAGAAATATTTGCACAGTTAAACATATTGCATCACGAAATTTTGAAACAATCTATTGGAATTTCCCTAATCTATTCCACATTCACTACCATGGTAATGGAATCCCATCCCATACATGTGAATTTCTTCATGATTTTCCTTTATAAGGGTATAGAGAATTAGAGATAACCTTACAAATTTACACATTGTTTCATTACCATTATCGCGATTGTTTCATTACAAATTTACACATTGTTTCATTAGTAGTGACATAAACTATCTTTCACAAATTTACACATTGTGTCATTACCATTATCGCGATTGTTTCATTACAAATTTACACATTGTTTCATTAGTAGTGACATAAACTATCTTTCACAAATTTACACATTGTGTCATTACCATTATCGCGATTGTTTCATTACAAATTTACACATTGTTTCATTAGTAGTGACATAAACTATCTTTCACAAATTTACACATTGTTTCATTACCATTATCGCGATTTATAACAGTCCACCAAACGTGTCGTTTATGATTATGCAAACATATAATCATATATACAGTCTCATTCAAAAATGATAACTTTTATTAATTCGAGTGCAAACCCCCATTAAAGGAAAGTTCTTTAGCCATTCTCCCTCTATTTCTTCAATGACTGTATTCGATAAAGAAAAATCAACAAAAACTCCCTCTATCCCAAATTCAAGTGCAACATTCAATTTTTTTTTATTAATTTAATAAACTGATCATCAAATAAAATACAGTACATAATTTAATAAGTTGAGCATCATCAAATTAGAAACTATATAAAACGAAATATTTCACTCGATATCAGGCCCATTGACGTCAATTTTCATGATTTCGAATAATTAGCACATAAGTTGACTCGATTATCAAAGTAGGCTCGAATAAATTCTTCGAGTATTTAAAACCAATAGTTCAATAATCTAACCTAGAAGAACCCTAAATTGAGGAAATTTAAATCAACGATTGTGAAATTTATGTTGGATGTTTTTTTTTTTTTTAATTTAGAAAAACATCTTACCTCAACAGCAGCTTCAATGGGGAATTCAGACTGCGCTGCGATGGAGGAGAGAGAGGGTTGAGCGCAACTGTGAAATACGAGTAGATACAAATGGGAAAAAGAAAAGAGAAAATATTTTTTTTTTTATTTCAGAAAAGAGAAAATATTGTCAAAAGTTGACGTGATTCGGAAATTTTATTGTATTCGTACTAGGATGCCATATGTATCCGTGATTCCGTGCCAAAGCTAAACTGCTACTCTATAAGTAAATACTACCTGTTGTGTAACGGAGATAGTAATAAATTATGTTTGGTTCGGAAAATGGAAACAGAGTAAAAAGGAAACAAATAAGAGGGGTAATCATTTAACTATTACTCCGTACCTTTTCATTTGTTTGGTCTAATCACGAAAATGGGTTTTTTTTTTTTTTTTTAGGGAATGAAAAGGGTATTTGTTAAGAGAAGGTTAAGGGTATTGTTACCCTAACGGGGCGTTTGGCAACAGGGATAGGGATAATGAAGATAAGAAGGTAGGATAAGGGATTAATAGGTGGGATATGGATTAAAATTATGTTATCCATTGTTTGGTAAGATTTGGGAATTAAATTGGTAAAGTAGTAAAATTACATAACTATCTTTAATAACATTATTTCTCCTCTCCCCTCTTCTTGACCTTTCATTAAGGGTAAAACTGTCTTTTATATTTTAAAATTAATCCCTACACCTTATACCTACCCTCGTTACAATTCATATGGGATAGAACAATTCCCATTAAATAAACAAGGGATTATAGGATAGAAGACATTATAATTAATCCCTATCCCACCTACAATCCCTACAAACAAACATGCACCCTCTAAATTTTTGAAAGGTAACAAATGAGGGGTAACTATTACCCTTAGGTAATGGTAACTGCTCTAATGCCTTCAAACCAAACACACATTAACAATATCGATTTAATGGAATCCGTTTCAAATTCAAAAAAAATACACTAACCAAACACCCCCTTAAAATTTAGCTGAAATCGGTTAGATAAATCTACAAGACTACAACCCAACTCGACCTAAAAGGTTAGAAATGACTCATATGTTTGTAGAGACTATGAGTCTTGTACGTTAGAAATGACTCATATGAATACAAACAATTCTCTACTTGTCCTCTATGTCACAAAAATAGAGGGATAAAAGTAGAGAATTGTTTGTATTCATATGTTTAGTATGAATTGTAAATATGAATATTTAATACTATATCGAAGTATATAATAAGTGGCAAAATTGTTAAAATTAATACCCATATGTACCAACTTTGTCACTCCCTCAGTCTCCACAAATTAGTTGTGAAATCAAGTAAATGTCAATATTATGTGCTTAATCATACAAGATGTGTTGCAAACTATAAAAATGAAGACCACATGAATTGTTATTCATACAAGAGATGTGCTTAATCAATATTCTCATTTCCATGATGTTGTTATTCATACAAGAGATGTGCTTAATCAATATTCTCATTTCCATGATGTATAAATAAAACTTGTAACTTTGAAATTTATAATATCCCAATACAAACAATAATATATCAACTCCGATTAGCTAGACAACCAATAATTTATCAACTTGAATTAAGTTGATCATGAACAACATAGTTTTAGTTAATGATCCAAACTCAGATTTTTTTTACACTTGTGTGATTTGTAATGAAATAGCTCATAACCCGAAAGTAGTTGTTTGCACATCGGATCCCGATTGTCCCGGAGTGTATGTATGTGGAACAATTCCACCCCGTATTCATTGTATCCAAAAGTTTGTACAACTTTGGAAACCACAGTGGAGTACGGAGCATAGAAAACTAATTTTAACAGGATGTTGTCGAGAAGATTGTCAAGGCCTTTTAACAACTACCATTAGGACTCCACCTCAGGCTACTATAGCAAGGGTAAATGATATTCCACGACTCTGTGGATATCCTGGTTGTGAGTACCGTGCGGCATACAATGCGCTACAAAATCATGCCCAAAATCACCATGCAGATGATGAGGACCTTGATGAGTCTGATGTCGTCGAGGAACATGGACAAGGTAATGTCGATGAGGACGACGATAATGATAATGACAATCAAGGAGAAGAGCAAGGTGATAGTGAGAATGATGAAGGGAGTGATGATGGTGAGAATGAAGAGAACGATAACGAAGATAGTGATGGTGATGATGAAGAAGACGAGCAACAAGGATATGATGAAGGACAAAGTGATGGTGATGGTGTGGAAGCTATGATTCGTTCATTCCATCAACAGTATTTCGTTTTTTGACCGATCTTTGGAGCTTTCTTGACATTTCTTCTTTCAATGTTTTAGCTAAAGTTTTAATTTGCTTAACGGTTTTGTTATCGTACTTAGAGTAGATTTTAAGTGTTTAAAGCAAGTACCATTTGATATCACTAATTTTTAAGGTTTAACTTTTTTTTTTACTTTTCAAATTTGTTTTAAGATGCATGAAGTTTTACTTAATGCAAACATTATCTTGTTAGGATTGTAATGTTTAAAGGCTATAAGTGCTTAACAAATATCATTGAAAAATTAGCTTGGAGTTCTATTATATTGATGAAGAAACACTCAAAATTGCTTCCTTTTGGTTTATTAAACCTTTAATTTTCCTTTTGCTATTTAATTAATTATGTTACTTATAATCACAAAATGATTCATACACTTTGATTCTCAAACTTCAAGCAAAGTAATGTATGGTTGGTGCACCCGGGTGCACCATGCGCATAGTGCACCCGGAAAGAACATTAGGTATATTTAAAAGAACATGGGCGAAAAAAAAACATTATAGATATTTATAAAGAACGTGAGCATAATATGTTCTTTAAATTTGATTAATATGTTCTTTGAGTTTGAACTATATGTTCTTTACATTATACAATATGTTCTTTAATGTATGTATATTAAAAAAAAAAAAAAAAAAAAAAAACAATCACCCGAGTAACTAGAAAAAAGAACATGTTCTTTATTGTATTATCATGTTCTTTTTGTAAAGACTTTATGTTATTTGGTTAGAGGTGATCAAAGTTAGACCGACCCGACTTGATTTTGGACGGGTTTTGGGCAAAAAAAATTCACCCCCTAATTCGGTCGGATCCGGCCCGTAAATTTAAATTTTCGGGCGGGTTTGGGATTGCGTTATTATGCATTTTAGTTGATTTTTTATATTCAACACGAAAAGCCCGCACGGCTGGACCATTTTGGGCATGTTTGGGCACAAAAACTTCAGCCCAAAACTTGGCCCGACTCGAGAAGTGAGCTGATTTTTTAACCTTGGCACGTTTTAGGGGGTGCAAAGTAATTGTTTTCCACATGTTCTTTAAAATATGTCTAATGTTCTTTCCGGGTGCATGGTGCACCCGAGTGCACTATACTATTTTCAAAAGAAACAGAGGGAGTATATAAATCCCAATAAAAAGATCACAACTTCTCTCCTAAAACAAGCACTGTCAAAACGGTTTGACAGTTCGATTTCGGTTCGGTTTGAAATCGGTTCGGTATTTAATCAGGTCGGTTCGGAATCGGTTTAATTGTCTCACGGGTCGGTTTTGGTTCAGTTTAAATAGTTATCGATTCGATTCGGTTTCGGTTTATTCTTAAGCGGTTTTAATTCGGTTCGGGTTGTAAACAGTCCGGGTAGTAAACGGTTCGGTGCAGACGGGTTGCTGTTTGTTAACGGTGCGTTGTAAACGGTTTTTATCCCGGTTCAAACAATTTCGGGTTAGAAACAGTTCGGTTTTTTTTTGGTTCATTTTATAACTGGTTCGGTTCTTTTTCGGTTCAGTTTTTAACTGGTTCGGTTCTTTTTCGTTTCAGTTTATAACTAGTTCGGTTCTTCGATTGTTTAACCACTTTAACGATATTCATATCGGTTCCATTTCAAGTTTACTAAATTATAGTTGAATCTGAATTAAAACATAGCCTAATAGTATATTCATGTCACTAGCACACTCCCATCTTTATTTCATTATTACTCACAGAATCTGTTTAGGGTAATTTTACCCTGCCACGTGGCCCAATCAGAAGGTGACACGTGTCATCCCCAGATTGGTCTAAAATGGACCAATCCCTGCTCGACACGTGTCATTCTCGAAATCAAGGGAAAAGGCGGCCTTCAGGCCCAAATCCCGAGAATGCCGCCAAACGGCGCAGCCCACCAATGATTAGGGTTCAGTAACCTAATCAGGGGCACAATTCCCAAAGACCCTATAAATAGGGAGATGTCCCTCATTTTGAGGGCACGTTTTGATCATTTATTACACATTTACTCTTTGAGAGAGACATCCTAAGCTTGGAATCCGAGCAGATCCCTACCTAAATTTCCGCACCTTTTTTCTCCCTTCAAGTATCTAACTTGTGCGTCGGAGGCGGAGCACCACCCAACTGGTGTCTCCGTTTGTTTTGCAGGTACAACTCACCCCGGATCAGTCTTCGTGTTGTAACTCTCCCGAGGGACAAAAACACCCAAACCATTTGGTGCCGTCTGTGGGGAGAGTACCTCGAAAATGGTTCAAGAGTTTGTACCCCCTAACCGTCTGGGCGAAGACCCAGAAGTCTTTACAGACCATGAGGAGGATGAGGATCCTCAGGTCGAAACCTATATAGCCGAAGACGGCTCTCTCAGAGTCAAGCACATCCGGTCCAGGGAAACTCTGGAGCGGGGTGCCTCCCAGGCGGGTCCGAGCAGGCCCACTGGACAGCCGGATGAGGCAACCCAAACGGCATCAGGATCAGCCCCTGTCACCCGAGACGAACTCATGAGGTTCATGACGAGTTTCAAGGGTGAAATCACAGAGCTGATCACCAAGATCCGGGTTGGTCCAAGTAAAGGCCAGTCGGCGAAGAAGACTCCTCCAGGGAAGGGGAAGTCAGTCAGAAACCGGCAGCCCACTCCCCATCCAAAGGAGAAGGCAGCCAGGACCATTGATTGGTCAAAGATTCTCCTTCCTGGGAACAATACCAACAACACTCGCCGGCCTCAGCAGCTGGTGAGAAGTAAAAAATCAACTATTGATGCCCGGGAGATCATCAACCGGAAGAGAAATCAATCGCTATCTGAGTCAGCTTCAACGTCGAATTTCCCAGACAGTTTCAACAACATTTCTGCAGGAAGTGCACCTTCCTTGCATGAGAGTCAGACGGGCGATAATACCGTCCATACCGGCCCTCATATGATCGGAGCTGTCCCGTATGTTCCTACTCAGGCCTACGGGCAGTATCCTCCTCACTTCATGCAGCCGGCCTTCTTTGGGGGTCAGGCGGCATACCATTGGACTGGCAGCTTCGCCTGCTGCGCCTGGGTGAACAACCTTTAGCGTTCACTCGGGAGATAACCGAGGCGGCTCAGCCAGCCAAGGTTAAGAATGTGTTGGTTGGTACCTATGACGGTACCTCCAACCCGGAAGACCACCTCATGGCGTACACCAACCTCATGTATCTGCAGGGGTTGGATGATGCCACGTGGTGTCAGTGTTTCCCGGCTACATTGAAGGGCATTGCCCAACAATGGTTTGGCAATCTGCCAGCTGGGTCCATCGATAGCTTCAGGAAGCTCGCCTTCCTGTTTGCTTCCAACTTCTCAATGAACATCCCTGCTAAGAAAACAAGCCTTGATTTGAGCACTGTTAAGCAGGGAGAGAGAGAAGGGATGCGCTCATATGTCAGGCGGTTCAATCTGATAAGAATTCAGATTCAAGGACTGTCTGACGAGGTAGCTTTTACAGACTTTTTTAAGGGTCTGAGAGACGGGTCGACCTTTAAGTTCGACCTTGTCAGAAAAGGGGCTTTCACCTTACAGGCGGCCCTGAGGGAGGCGGAGAGCTACATCCAAGCTACCGACCTCTGCTCGCCTGGTAGCCAGTCGGACTCCAAGAAGTCTGACAAACAGAAAGAGAGCCGGTCATCTCAGCAGGCTAAAAACAAAGAAGAGAGCAAGAAAAGAAAAGAAGTCTGGGCGGTTACTGATTCTGACCAGCCGTCCCAGAAGAAAAAGAAAGAGTTTAAACCGTACGTCCCCAAGTACGAGTTTAACAAAGATTGCAATTCCATCCTCATAGAGGTAAAGGACCGGCTGTCCATTGAGAAGCCGAATCCTATGAAGAGTTATGTCCAGTCACGGAACAAAAATAAATTTTGTCAGTTCCATGAGGAGGTCGACCATGACACCAACGACTGCTTCAGTCTTCAGCGTGCGTTGGACCGTCTGGCTGACAAAGGGCTGTTGAAGTCCTACATTTCTAAGTCCCCAGCCGGGGCAAAAAAGAAAAACAAGGGTCAGTCCTCCAAGACTACCCCCCAGCCTGCTAGTAGCTCGGATACCGATAAGGAGCCGGTCTACACTATAGCAGGCGGGTTCTCATGTGGTGGCCCTACCATCCGGGGCACCAAAGCCATCTTCGAAAGATGGACAAAGATGATGATGAGCAGGCGTCTGCCAGCTCTTCCTTCCCCGATGTCTTGATCACTGAGAAGGATAGGGGCAGCGTCCGCCGTCCTCATGATGACCCGGTGGTCATTGAATGTAAGGTTGCCAACCAGTTAGTTGGACGGATCCTTATAGACACCGGCAGCTCATCAGACATCATCAGCCTCCGGTGCCTGCAAAAGCTGAAATACAATGTCAGCATCATGCATCTGGTCACCCACCCCTTGGTTGGTTTTGGGGGTAGGATGGTCTACCCAGCCGGAAGGATTGACTTACCCATCCGGCTGGGAGAGAAGGGTCAGGGATGACATATTGTCGTCAGATTCTTGGTCGTTGAGGAGTTGACCGCCTACAATATCATTCTTGGCAGGCCAACCCTCAACGTAGCCAAGGCAGTAATCATCCCGTCCCTCATGCTCATCAAGTATGAGAAGGATGACGGCTCTGTTGGTTCCTTGAATGGGGATCAGAAGACGGCTCGAGAGTGCTATCTCTCAGCCGTCCGAGATACTGTGGCCCAAGGCGGTCAGGAATCAATAGACCTTGACAACGTCAAGGATGCCGACCCAGCTCCTGCCCCATCCGCAGCCGGAAAGAAAAGAAAGGCTCCTCTGCTGGTGGAGGTGAAAAAAGAGAAAAAATAGCAATCACTGACCGGTGAACGGTCAGATGAGCTCCGTCCCCAACCGGCTGGCGAAAGCATTGATCTCGTTCTGGACGACAGCCGTCTAGAACGCACTGTTCAGGTTGGGACGATTGCTCATGCTACCTTGGGTGCAAGCTTGCACCTTCTGCTGAAAGAATTCAAAGACATTTTTTCCTTTGAAGTGGAAGAGATGCCAGG